TATTATTATTATTATTATTATTATTATTATTATTATTATTATTATTATTTATATTATTATTATTATTATTATATTATTATTATTATTATTATATCATATTAATACTAATATTATTATTATTAAACAATAGAAATATAATAATAATGATTATTACAGCATAAAATAATAATAATAATTATAATAATAATAATAATAATTACTATTATTATTATTTTTTTTTATTATTATTATTCTTATTAATACTAATAAAAAATATTATACTATTATTTAAATACCATTATTATAATATAACAATACTATAATATTATAAACTCGACAATTTTGAAATGTCGCCATTTATCCCTCACTTAGACAAACACTATAAAAAAAAAGACTAAAACGAGTCTTAAATACAATAATCATAGCATTGATAATGGTTATTTTTTTAATGATACAATAAAAAAATTTTAATTTCCTAAAGAATACATCTTCCCGACAATCCAAAAAGTGAAGATGCATCTTTTAGGTTTATGCCAGATGCCGATTCGAATCAAAATCGCTTAATCCGGATCAGGTATTGATAGAGCCAATCTAGTTCAAAATTGCATAATCTGGATGGTATTGATAGATCCGATTCAGTTCCCAATACGTACTAGTCCCAACTGCCTTTAAAGTTAAGCTTACAGCTGCCTATGGCTGGGGCATGTCACAATCCTTTAGGCCTACTAGAGACCAAACCTATAGAAAAAAGATTTGGCAGATTTATCATAATATCCACCTTAAAAATACCCCACCCATCTTTTACCACAGAAAGAGAAGACCAAATAGAGAGCTTAATAAAATGGATAAGCTTATCAACCGGTAACGCCACATCCTCAAAGGTCCTTCTGTTTCTCTCCTTCCATACTTCCCAAAGTATCATACCTCTTGCTATCTTCCGAATCATAATTCCAATCTTCGGAAGAGAAGGAATACCAAATTGCGATATAATACCAATAACATCCTGGGGCAGCATTAACAATAATCCCACTTCACCAATTAACCAATGCCATATCCTCAAGGTATAGGGACACTGAATCAAAAGATGGTCAACTGACTCACCATCCGATTTGCAAAGCAAGCAAATATTAGGTAAAAACTTACCCCTTTTTTGCAAACTACCAATAGTTAAAATCTTATTTTGCGAAGCTCGCCATATGAAGACTTGGACTTTATGTGGTATTGACCACGTCCAAATTTGCACGACTTTGAGAGATGATCATCTCCAGTGATCATGGAAAAAAAAAGATTAAAGCAGGATTTAACTGAGAACCTACCATCCCTTTCAATTTCCCAAACCAAAATATATTCTACCCCTTGGGAGATATAGACTTTATCCAATAAATCCATCAACACACACCACTGGGACAATAAAGCATTGTCCAGCCATTTATACATAAGGGGTACATCCACGAAACCAACTGCCCTCTTCTCTCAACAGCATCACTAATTTTAAGATTAGGATTGAATACTATCCTAAAGAGATCAATGAAAACAAACTTCAGAGGATACTCTCCAAGCCACCTATGATGCCAGAACAAGATTTGACCACCCCCACCCATATTCTATCTAAAATAACTTGTAATCATATTCCTGCAATTAGAAATCGCCCGCCATATATAAGACATATCCTTACCATTACCACCCCCAAGCCATATATTAAATTTATCCATCTCATATTTTGTCCAGAGAACTCGATACCAAAGAAGATCCTTCAAATTGAGACTATGCTACCACTATTTACATAACAAAGCCTGGTTAAATCTCCTAATATTTTGAATTCCCAAACCACCTTCATGCTTGGGAATACAAACTCTATCCCATCTTAATAAATGAAATCTCTCCCTCTCTCCTCTCAAACCCCAAATGAAATATCTCATCATCTTCTCAATTCTTTTTACTATCGATGTCGGAATATGAATGATCAACATCTGATACACAGGCAGATTTTCCAAACAAGATCTTAAAAGTGTAATCCTTTCCCCCAAAGACAAATATTTATACTTTCATAAATCAATCTTGATTTGTATTCTCTCAATCATCCTATCCAAAATTGCAATAGAGAATTTTAAATCTGAAATTGGAAGTCCCAAATAGGTAATAGGAAAAGAATCTACTTTACAGCCCAACACATCAGCCAAGTCACACACCAAGGCCTCGCTGCAGTTAATTTCCACTATTAAGGACTTATGAAAATTAACATTAAGCCCAAGGGTTGCTTCACAAATCTCCAAAAATCTCACCATATTCCTCACTTGTATAGTCACAGCATCAATAAAAATCAAAGTACCATTAGCATACTTCAAATAAGAGATGGATATAACAGAGTTTGCAATTTGGAAACCCTCAAAAGCCCCCAAATTCTCCACCCTACTAGGCATCAAACTTCAACATTTGGCATAAATTGAGAAAAGGAAGGGAGAAAGGGGGTCACCTTGACGTAAACCTCTCGACGCAGTAAAAAAACCAATCTGACTGCCTTTGAATATTACTGAGAAGTGTGCATTAGATTAGCATCCAAAAATCCAACTCCTCCAACTAGCTCCAAAACCCATATTTTTTATAATTTTCAAAAGTACACCCCACTCCACCCTATCATATGCCTTTTTCATGTCAAGTTTAAGCAAAATACCTGCCCTTTAATTTAAGACTTGCGAATGAATACATTCTTGAGCCACCAGCACACTATCAGTAATTTGGCAATCCTGTATAAAAGCAGATTGTGTAGATGAAATAATGAGAGGAATGACTTCCTTAAGACGTTCTGCCAAGATCTTAGCTATAATCTTAAAACACTTGTGAGCATACTAATGTGCTTAATATCTGCGAGCTCATTGATCACTGATTTTTTAGGTATCAATGCCAAGAAAGTGGAATTGATTCCCTTAAAAAGTTGACTTTTGATGATAAAATCTCTAATGACCGCCAACAAATCATTTTGGTTAGATTCCAAAATCTTTGAAAAAAAACCAAAGGAAAACCATCCGGACCTGTCGCCTTATTGCCAAGCAAAGCAAAAACAGCATGTTGCAGTTCCTGAACAGTGATCGGCCACTCCAAAAAACATCTCCGCTCTTCATTCAACATCTTAAAAGGAACATTCGGAAAACTTGGAGTCATCACCACCTTTTTAGCAAATGCTTTCTTAAAATGATTAATGACACCCACTTCCATGGCAACATTATCCTCAGGATCTAACCCATGAATATTCAGTCCCGAAATATCATTTTGTCTTCTCTTGGCGCTAACAATGGCATGAAAAAACTTAGTATTGAGATCACCTTCCTTGACCCATTTATTCCTAAATCTCTGTTTCCAATAGATTTCTTCAGATCTTCTCAAATCCTTTAACTCATTCAGTTTCACCCCACGTTCCACCACCAGTTGCTCAGTTAAAACACCGCTAGTCTGAGCATTAAGATCCAACATTTCAATATCTCCTAAGACCCCATCAATCTTGTCCTTAAGATTGAATTTATTATCCTTTTTCCAGGTAATCAATTTGTGTTTGACATTTAACAACTTTTTGTATAATTGAAATCCAAAGAACCCACCCCCACAGTATTCGACCAGGTTCTTTTAGTTGATTACCTTCGATAGCAACTAGCTCATGGATATTGGAATGATTTTTCTTTTTCATGTCTTTCTATCTTTGATGGGGTTATTCTTTTTCACTCTCACTCATACACAAGCATACCTTCTCTATCTTAGATTGGGTTTTCCTTTTTCATTTGCAATCTCTCACACACACTCTCTTTCTTGGATAGGGTTTTTCTTTTTTCACTCACTCACACACTCTCTTGGATTGGGTTCTTCTTGTTTCACTTACACTCTCTTTCTTTTGAATATTGGATTGGGTTTTTCTTTCTCTCTCTCCCTCTTACTCTCTTGAATTAGGTTTTTTATTTTTCATTCTCTCTCCCTCTCTCTCCCCCACACCTTCATAATTAGGCATGCGATTGTGCCCCAACTTTAGCTACAAACTTAAATACACCAACTCTAGAGTGACAAATAACACACACACACACACATATATATATACATATATATTCAATAAATTATTTTTATGAAAAGGGACAAATAATAAATGGGTAGGCAAGCACCCCATCTTTACAAGTAGCATTGAAGATTATAAAAATAAATAATTTGAGTTAGCGATATTCATTTATAGCAATTGGTTGCATTTTAAACTTCATTTTGGCTATAAAATGACAACCAATACTCAAACATGAGACAAGTTCTCATTATTTAGGTATTTTCATTAAAATAGTAAAAAACTATAACACAATACTCTTTTTTGGGAACCTAAAAAGCTAAATTTTAAAATATTCTAATAATTTTTTGTATTTTTTTTTAGGCCAAAACCTGTCGATTTGGCATATTCCCTTATTCAAATTGCCGATCCACCAATTTATTTTTTCAACCTTGGTAAATGGGGATAAAGAAAGTCAAGGATGGCAAGGAGGCCACAAGTGGGGAGCAAGGAGAAACCCTACTTTGGGGGTTTTTGTTGTGAAGCTCAGGCAAACCTGGAGGATAGAGGATTGACGGGCTCAAAAAGCAGTTGTAGTCATCAAAGTAAGTGGAGATGAGGAGTTGAGAAAGAGAGACCCAATGGAGAGAGAGAGAGAGGGGGTTGGCAGAGGAAAAATAAGAGACTTAGGCATCCATGGCGAAAGGCCGTACTAATGCCATAGTTATCAAGATTGGATAGAACATGTGGTCTGAACTTAGGATAGATGCTTTGGACAATCTCATTTAAGGTAATAATTAAGTTTAGTTAAAAATTAATCAAAATCAATATTTGATTAGTTTTAGCTAGTTGGATCAATCGAATTTGACCAATTCGACTAGCTAAAAAAGTTGAAAAAAATCTTTTAATATTGAACAAAAAACAATTGAGTCCGGTTCAAATTTTTTTGGTACTAGATTGTAATTTTTTTAGGTAAGGATGAACTTTATATGATGTTATCCAAATTATCAGTCTAGCTACCATTTCAATCTTTTTTACTTCACATCCAAAAAAATATCAAATTTGGGTACATCCAAACTCAAAGGGAAAAATTTATATAGAGCCGAGGCTCTAAACAATCAAATTCGAGCCTACCTCAAAAGTTTCACTAGAAGATATTGTTTTGATGCCCAAATATCCTCAAATTCATCATCTCGGTATCAAGATGCATGGACATGATAAAAAAATGGATTTCAAGTTTTGGAAATAGTGTATTTTGTAACACACTTTTGGACCGTCAAATTTCAAGATTTTCAAGTTTTCATAGATCTCTCGATCTACATTATTTTTTAAGCTTTAAACTTTATAAATAAAGATGAAGATATATTTTAAGGCTATCAAAAAGATTTCCAGTATTGAAATCATATTTCTCAACACTATTTGAAGGTAGGCTCTAATTTGATTGTTTAGAGCCCAAGCTCTATACAAACCGCACCTAAACTTAAAAGGCACTAAGTCCTATTTTTTACATAAGTGTGCCAGGCTTTTGCAAAATTTACGCTTGATATCCGGATTTTAAATCGAAACCGACTCTATTATCTCTAACTGGTTATGTACAGGCTTCTAAGAAATGGGAAAGGTTTCTATGCTTCCCCTACATTATAGAAGTTCTATTCTGCCCCTACCATCCAGCCATCTAATTTTGATCAAGAGAGTCACTCACCGTTTGATCTTAGATCTGACATCTCAAAATACTTTATTTTTAATTTTTTAATACAAATTGTATAAATATAATTTTTGGTATGTTCCATCTTTTCATTGGGGCACACTTATAAAAAAATCTTACCAATAATTATATACGGGAAAATAACCCGGAAATCAGCTCTCTTCGTGATACCCCTCCCTATCAATCTAAAGACCATAGGCCTTGCAAGCTGGCATCCAAAAACCTAAACACTCTTTTTCTTTTCCTAATGTGTATCTTATTTTGCTTTCCAAATTATTGTATGTTGTCAATAATTATATACGGGAAAATGACCCTGTGGAAAACTAGCCCATTTAAAAGGCAAAAGAAAAAAAGACATTTTGAGATTCTCCAATACCATGATGGTTCGTGCTGACTACTCGGCCCATTCCCTAGCCGAGTACTCGCCCAAATCCCAGTAACTCGGCTTGAGTTGGGCCGAGTTATTGTAGTAGCTTAAAATTATTAAAAAAACAAAAATCCCAAAAAAATGAATTAACAAAATACAACTAATTGTGGTTAAAAAGGTAGCGAAAAATAGATTTCAAAAAATGAGTTTGTGACTAAGAGTATTTTTATAAAAGTAAGTATTCATAACTAAAATATTTTCAATCTTTACCAAAATGATGGATAATATAAATAAACATGTCAAATTTATATTTCTTTTTTTTGGGATTTTTTATAATTTTTTAAATTTTTTTAAGATCCTCAAGTTGGATTTCCAACTAAGGATAACTAGGGCTCAGCAATGGCCCAAGCCCGAGTAATGTAATTATTATTTCTATTTTTTTCTAATGTAATTATTATTTCTATTTTTTAAAAAAAAAAATCATAATATTCATGCTCTCCATGTTAACGATTATATATTCTCTAAAAATTAATATAAAATTATATTTAAAAATGCATTTATTTTCGAGCCCACATTTTTACAATATGTCTGTTGGCCGCATAGAAACCATATCCTTGAAAAATTGTCACCTCGCCATGTTGTTTTTTTGTCCCGGTGATTCCCCTCTATAATAAGGGATGGGGTTTCTATGAGTAAGCCGCCTCATGTGCTATGTATGCGGGCCCTCTAAAAATTATCTCAAAGATGGATTTTAATATAAAGTTTTAGGGATTTATAATCTAAGCTAAGATGATCATGAATATGAGAATAAAATAAAATCTTCAACATTTAAATGTGATTCGTTCGAGGATATTTCTACACTTACTGTATTTATTTTAGACCAATGGGTTTTTTACGGCGTCCATAAAGATGGTAATAAAAGTACTCTTCCGGCAATCTTTCAAAGTGAAAAAATGGTAATGGTAGTTTTATTGAGTGTTCTAAACAAAAAGAATTGTCATAAACAAAAAAATAAAAATGCTAGCATAGGTGAATGCCCTATAGCTACATGTGAGTCTAACGGTTCATATATGGGCCGATCTGACAGACACACCTCATTTCGTATTTTAATTTTAATTTTTTTTCTACAAATTCAAATCACGTAAAATTGTAAGCGTCTATCTTATCAATGCGCAACTAATAAAAATATCAAAAAAATAATACATAATATATAAATTAATTAAAATACTTCAAATAAGTTTCGGGGGTATTATGATTAATTTATTTCTCACGAAATATTTTTTTGTATATTTTTATTGCATTCTCCTATTTTTAAAGCACACATGCCCAAAATTTCAAATGATTTGAATTTATAGAAAAAAATTAAAATTAAAATACAAAATACAATCGTGATCATTGGATCGTCTCAAATTCAATCAGGGCCGTTGGGTACATATGTAGTTGTAGGCACACTGGACTACGCTAGCTCATATATATATAGCTAAGCTTGCATATATAGAAATGCGAGCCTCTTAATAAAAATATTTTTGAGATGGATTTCAAGACTTAATTTTGAAAGACATGCAATTTCTAACATGGAAATCATGAATATGAATTTTAAAAAGTAGAAAGAATAATTCTAATAAAAAAATATTTGGACTTTTAGTTTCCATTGTTTTTAGATGGAGCAACTACTTGCATCTATCTTTAAGATGGATGTTTTACACTTTTTTGGATCACATATACAGAAATGTGGTCCACCTGCATGAAACAATATATATATATATATATATATCATTTTTTTTATTTTTTACGCTTTTATTTTTTTTGGGTTAGCTAGATTGTTAATCAGCCCTTTGCGGATCTTGGGCTAGGATGGGAATCGATGGGTGTGCAACTAGCCCACGTTTCCAGACACTGTGCCTAAATTTAGCTAGCTTTTCTTGGAAAGTCAAGTTGATTTTAAATGTTACAAGTCAATTTAATGACGTATAGTTCCCAAAAACAAACATTTAATGTCTCGTCAAAGACTCCTCGGTCAGTTTTGCCATTGCTTTTGAAAGTTTAACAAAATTGACCACCAAATTTCCCTAGTATATGGGACAAGTTTTCTACGCTTTCCATACGGCATAAAATTTATATATTTTTCTTTATCCAACCGTTCATACTGAATGGAAAGTTAAGATTACTCCAATCACAATGCCATATTTTTATATTATTTTATTTTTAATATTTTTTATACAAACTATTTTAACAACAAATTTTGTACGTTCAATCTTCTATTAAACTCGCACTAACGAAAAATACAAACAAAATGTTTCTGATAAAATAAGATGACCAAAATACTTTCGAAAGTTTCAAAAAGTATTTTGGTCATTATATTTTATCAAAAATTTATTTCTACTATTTTTTATTGGTGTGCCCCAATGAGAAGATGACACGTACCAAATTTCATATTTTTACAATTAGTATAAAAATATTAAAAATAAAATATTTTACGACGTCGGATCTAAGATCAAACGGTGAGTGCCTCTTTTGTTCAAAATTGGACGGCTGGAGTTAGGGAAAGCTCAAATCTTTTAGGTTGTAGAAAAAGTATAGAAACCTTTCCCTCAAAAAGCATAAAGATAAAAAAGTAGACAATCTTGTAAGTATTATGGAGGTAAACTAACTCAACGTCATGAAAGAATGACCTATGTATGCTCCAGTGTGTATATAACCTTGGGTAAAAACCCAGAGGACTATGAATTTCCGGGATATAACCTCGTCCTAATTTTTAGACGGTTAAATCAGTGTTTTAAAACCCATAATCGGCTTTTGAATCGCCTGCCCATGGTTGGATCACAAAAAATTCAGAAGTAATATTAAGTGATTCTAAGGGAGAACTCGATCAAGATAATAATTCTCAAATTAGATAGCCAATTCCTAATCTAGATCGCCAATTTTAAAACTATTTTTGAACTCAAATTCTGTCTTTTTAAGCGCACTTCGGCTATGTGTTTGTGGGGATCACTACACCCCTCTTTAACATAATATAAATCGAGCCAAATGGTATTCTGCTCTATTTACTCCCTCAGGTATAACCCCATTTAGAATTAATTTTAGGATCTCAAATTTTGAGATAACCTCTTCAACCTATAGGTGCACTTGAAAAAAATATTGATTCAAGATTGAAGGGAGACCATCCAATTTTGAGACGATGAGATCTAAGTGTTAGAAAATTCAAATTTCAATTTTTTTTTTTTAGAGTAATTATCTAGCTACACTAAATGATTCCCAAATTTTAAATTTAATATGCTTCTAAATAGGTATTCCGACCGAAGGAGTAGAAATAAACTATGCACCCTGAGAATACATAGTATACGTGCTCACGTATCAATTGCATCTTTCAATAAGTATTTGTTCAGTAGAGAGAGAGGCCCTTTTAATGTAGGAGTCGTCAATCAAGTTGTAGAGTGGGCGAGTGCGACTACACCACTAATACACGCAATATCAAGTT